TCGTTATTTGGACTACGAAGATATACAACATGGATCAAATGATAGAATTTAATTGAAAATATGATCATTTTCAAATTCTCATAGAAGTAACTTCCGGTCTGATTACGTCATGAATTTGAAACCTTGCCAAGTTTTCTGTGGTTAATCAGAGAATATCAAGGGGCATTTTGGTAAAATTTGAACGGATGGTTTTCAAAATAAAGAAAGCAAACAATATTAAATGTGCCGCTTGGGGCGTCCTTTTGAATGAAGACGTCATCACACTTTTTTTGTGACTGGCATTTCTCACTAAACACTTTCATAATTTATATGTGTGTAGTAAAATGCTTCCGCTTTCATGTATTCTTGTGTCCAATCATAACTGGAGCCATTTTAAATGGTAAGCTGTTTTCAGCATGAACTCCCAATACCATTTGCCTGAAAAAAACCCCGAAATAATACTTACTATCCGAAGGTAAATTTATAAACAGAAACAAACATTTATATTCGCCAAATCGTTGCTCAGAACAGCGTAAGTGCACACATTTTACTTTCCGAATCACAGTGTGCATGCAGTGTACAAGCTTAACTCCGGTTATGACACATTAACTGCACATACGCGCTTTTCTGTCTTGCCATTTTCAAGACGAAGACGCGCGCAGCGATCTATTTTAGTCGTACACGCGTGACGACAGTACTTCTCCTCAGACTTTCTCAGAGTCTACGTACTAATAACTGGACATGTACATGTACATGAACGCCCGTGAAAAGCAAACGAAAAGCCAGGCTACGTTCAGCGGGCGTGCGCGCCGTATGCCGTGGCCGAACGGCGACGCGCTATGCTTTCATTGCATTTTTGAGCGACGGACTACTATTAGGGTATTTTTGTCGGCGGCGGGTCACGTGTATGAACAAGTAGACAAGCCACGAACCTGGCACAATTGACGCCAATGTTTAAGCTATCATTCAATGGACAATTCACGATTATATCTCTCACTCTCAGGATTGATTTATTTTTGAAGAATAGAAGGTCTTTTCGTTGTAACTTCCGGTCTGATGACGTCATCAACTTCAAACTTCACCTGTGTCGTTTGCATGAAGGTCATTATATATACCAGTTTTCAGGCGATTACAAAACACTTCGCCACAGACATCTATTCAAAATGCGTTTAGGACATTCTTAAACCTGCCGCTAGAGGGCGGTCGAGAATTTCATGACGTCACTGGTACAAGTTTTGAAGAATATTGTCTGGCCAGAGACTAACACCGTTGAAAGAAAGTTCATATCTGTTACCAATTTTAAATAGTAAGCCAATAATAAGCCACTTCCGGTTTCGACCGGAAGCAAGGGTCATGTGATTTTACGTACATGTTAAAAATAAAAACCTTAATTTACTCTATCACTTGCCGCAAACAGCAAGACGGCAGATCTCATTATTGATTTTATATAGATTTTTAAAGATAAAAAAATATCAAAGTTTAATTGCTTGTCACGTGACACATGATGACGTCATTATGCCATCTTTGTTCTGGCACAATCTTAGCATTAAGGTCTTTGCTTGGTGTTACTTTGATGAAGATGCCCCATTGAAAAGTGGCCAAAAAGGTCCCTTGAAAAAGAAGGGCACAAAGTGGAAAAACTGTGTACAAAGTCTATGGCCTTAAATAAATATTCAAAATTTCATAATAAATCACATGATGATGTCATCATTGCGTCTATCTTCGCCATTGGTTTGGTTTGTCTGTGTTACAGAATGTGGATGTCTCAGTAGTTAATTGCAGCCAAAACTTTATACAGAGCACCATTCGTCTACATAATTGAATGAAGTTTTGAAAACGCTTCGTTGAAAGGAAAGTGATCGATTCCTGGAGCATGAGTGTAAGCAATTGTTTTAACATAAAGGTTATTACTTAACCTTTTATACTTTTGCTGCTTATTATGTTGGTTTTATACTGCCCGGCTCAGATCAAAAAGAGCATTGCGTCTGTTCTTCGTTTTTACGTTTTTAGCTTCGTTTCTCTCTTTTTAAATGTTGATTTAGTACTCCAGTCTTGCTACAATTCTAAAGTAAATGTAGATAACAAAAACAATATAAATGGGGTGAACTGCAAAAAAAGTTAAATTCAGTTGCTATGATTTGTTTTAGTTAATATTGCAAAACATGTGAAAATCTAAAAAAAGACACAGACTGCAAGGATAGTGACACCAGACATTAACACATTCTGAATGATTTTTCAATAATTCCCTTTAACAAACTGTAATTGTTTTATATTGATTTTTCCATGTCGACTATATTAAAAGAAAAAAATTCAAATAAATGTTCATGTAGATTCTAAATTTAAATTCAATAAACAAGTATTGATCACTGAATGCATGAACCACCTGCCACAGTCTGCCTCGGAATGTAACAGGAAAATGCTCAGCCTTAAAACAAAGGGCGACTACTGATTGCCGATAACATGTTGAGTGAATGTATTTCTATTCCTTTTTGTGTGCATTTCTCCAGATTTTCGATGTGCTGTGCTTGTAACTCCACAATCTTTGAACCAGGAGCTGTTCCTTAGTGTTATAGCTGTTATAGTGAAGGAAATTAGAAAATGAATTCCAATATATACGGGGTGCATAGAAACTTGTTGAATACATTGTGTACACCTCCTAGTAATAAATCTTGAACGAATTCATTGTAAAGGTGTACTTTTATTCCATTATTTTTATATTCTTATCTGTAAAAAATCGAGAAATAAAATCCGTGGACAAAACAGGTATTTTGTTTAAACAAGACTCACAAGTTCAAGTTACACTGAAACAGAACGATAAACGTACATGTACACTCTCATAATCTTCAATCTTTGTTTTCTATTTTTTTATTCTTCAAAGTGTACTTTCTCATTATTTAAACCTATTATTCCCTAAAAACAGCAATTTTCTGGAGATACTTTCTATGCCTCCCCCTTAAAAAAATAATGATATATCTCAATGACATACATTTAAAAAAATCGGCTGCATTTTAATTGACAATGCTCAAAACGTCAAAACTGAATATAAATAGGATGTTTAGTCGCGTTAATACAATGAAGATTTAGGGGGGGGGTTTGAGAGTCGACTATCAGAACAGGCCATATTTAAGGGCCACTCAAGGGAAAGAAAAGTAAATCTAACAAACAAATTAATGATGTAAAAAGACAGTACTGCCTTGATGTTTAAACTGGGACTGACCATAATCAAAAAGGAAAGCATGATGCAGGTCTGATGTAAAGAGTTCAATAGAGAGGCAGTGCAGAGAGTTGTTCTCAGCAATCTTTCAAATTTAAAAATAAGGACTTCACTTGAAACGTTTTTAGCAATGAATTTCCTTTATTTGTTCTCAATTACTATTTTTAGTTTTTAGTTTTACTTCAAACTATAGGTGCATAAATGAAATAGTGCGAGAACTGACAATGAAAGAGGTATCTCTTAATATTTCGAGATAAGTCTGGCATTAGTGAAGGATGTAGATCAAAGGTGATAACAGTGACGGCTAAGGAACAGCTCCTGGTTCAAAGATTGTGGAATTACAAGCACATTGTGTACACAATGTATTCAACAAGTTTCTATGCACCCCGTATATAGTGGAATTCATTTTCTAATTTCCTTCACTATAACAGCTATAACACTAAGGAAAAGCTCCTGGTTCAAAGATTGTGGAGTTGCAAGCACAACACATCGAAAATCTGGAGAAATGCACAAAAAAAAAGAATAGAAATACATTCACTCAACATTTTATCGGCAATCAGTAGTTGCCCTATGTTTTAAGGCTGAGCATTTTCCCGTTACATTCCGAGGCAGACTGTGGCAGGTGGTTCATGCATTCAGTGATCAATACTTTTTTATTGAATTTAAATTTAGAATCTACATGAACATTTATTTGAATTTTTTTCTTTTAATATAGTCGACATGGAAAATCAATATAAAACAATTACAGTTTGTTAAAGGGAATTATTGATAAATCATTCAGAATGTGTTTAATGTCTGGTGTCACTATCCTTACAGTCTGTGTCTTTTTTTTAAAGATTTTCACATGTTTTGCAATATTAACTAAAACAAATCATAGCAACTGAATTTAACTTTTTTTGCAGTTCACCCCATTTATATTGTTTTTGTTATCTGCATTTACTTTAGAATTGTAGCAAGACTGGAGTACTAAAGCAACATTTAAAAAGAGAGAAACGAAGCACAAAACGTAAAAACGAAGAACAGACGCAATGCTCTTTTTGATCTGAGCCGGGCAGTATAAAACCAAAATAATAAGCAGCAAAAGTATAAAAGGTTAAATAATAACCTTTATGTTAAAACAATTGCTTACATTCATGCTCCAGGAATCGATCACTTTCCTTTCAACGAAGCGTTTTTCAAAACTTCATTCAATTGTGTTGACGAATGGTGCTCTGTATAAAGTGTTGGCTGCAATTAACTACTGAGACATCCACATTTTGTAACACAAACAACCAAACCAACCAATCACGAATCATTATATTAAAAAAGCAACCTTAGTTTGGCCTCAGTTATTTCATAAATATTTTCCCGAAAGGACAGTCAGTGAATCAACGTAAATATCAACCAAGATGTCATTAAAAAGCATTTGTTCGGAATTTGTTTCGTTGTTTACGCGTTTCACGAAGTGAACTATCTCGATGCGTCAGTTCGTGAAATGATAGTTTTGCATTTTGTAGCGATATGTCAACATTTTTAATTAGCTGAAAATAAACAAAATCACACTTTTCTTCCTCATGTTTTCTTACTATTGTCTGTCTAAAAATGTGCGTTCAACCTGTGAGTGTACGTTCAACCTGTGAAACCAACAACATCATTGAATCGTGTGCGTTGTTTGCACGAGCAGTGCTCAAAAACGCCGCAAGCAATACCAGCTAGCGATCACTGAGCAAGTTGCCCCTTCCGAAGAGGCACATTTTTTAACGGGCACTGCACTAGTCATTGTAAATGTTATGAGAGGATTTGAAGAAGTTTTTTCTTTTCCCTTTAGCACCAATAGCAGGACCCCTTGGTAGGAGACTTGGTACCAGATCGGTCGTCATGGTTGGTGGTGTCATGGTAACAGCTGGACTCATCATCGCCTCACAAGCTTCGAGTATTGTACAGATAGCACTCTCAATGAATATACTGTTGGGTTAGTGATGTTTCCTAGTTTTTAATGTTATTATACCGTATTATTCGTGTACACGTCAGTCACGAATCTGTCACGAGACAATGTGGCTCATCAGGCCAGCGTTTATCTCCGGTTTCAGTAGCATGAAACAACTGTGAATATTTCTACTCCCCCCTGGATGGGAAATGATACTAGTCCATGGCAGTTTACTCCCCAGCTAATGCCGGTACCCATTTATGCTCCTGGGTGGAGAGGCAAGTGGGGATGAAGTGGCTTGCCCAAACATATTGCCAGCTGCTGGATTCGAACCCCCTGACGCTCTGATTATGACTCACAAACCCTAACCACTAGGCCACACTCTGTCCAATAGGCATAGCCCTATCCAATATGCCCATACACCATAATCTTTTCAGGGATCATGAACCTTTTCCAATTCCTTTTCCTTCTGTTAAATCTACAGCTATAGGATATTGCGTCGTCAACGTTCTTACACGTGCTGCTCTCGGCCAGCATTTTGACAACAAAATGTTTGCCCTGGCGTCAGGCATCGCCTACACGGGTAACTCCCTCAGTCTGGTCACCCAACCGCCCCTCATGCAGCTGTTTATAGACACGTATGGGTGGCGAGGAGCCATGCTGCTCTTGAGTTCAATCTGCTTTCATCTTGTCGTGTGCGGCGCCCTTCTCGTTCCCTTGCCAACAGGCAGTGGTGCAATTTCAACTACCACGTACACACCCCTGGAGCAGTCGACTGACCAAACCAACGATCAAATGGACGAGGACAAACGCGGTACCAGGTCTTGCCTGAAATCTTTTTGTCAGAGCTTGGGGGAATCATTCGGCATTTCACTGATAAAGGACTACAATTTTTGGATTATCACTTTCATTTTCGTGGTGAATCGAGTCAACAAAGGAGCTTGGCTCATCTATTTTGTTCCCCACGCTGTTTCTAGGGGGATCGCCAATAACGTAGCTGCTACCATGGTGACGGCAGCTGGGCTGGGTTATCTAGCGACCAGCCTATTGGTCAGCCTGGCTGTATTCAAAGAGCTAGTGTCGAGTACCAGCGCTATGTTGGTTTCCATCGTAGTGGTATCCGCTTCGTTTCTCATCGAGCCGTGGATGACGTCAGGCTGGATGATGTCAGCCAATGCCTGCGTGTACATGGCTGGTATGGGCACGGTGTTTGGCCTTGGTGACGTCATGGTAAAGGAGTTCATTGGATTTGAAAGAATGGCCAACGCCTTCGGCTGGATGGGTTTCATTTCGGGACTCTTTCGATTTTTCTCAGGATTCGTTCCAGGTAGGAACATAACTATATATTCATATATGAAATATCTCTCACCTCCTTCGTTCACCCTCTCGAACTTAGTTTACAAAGGAAGAACTAGAACTGTGAAGTTTTTTTTACCAACCAAAATGAGTGAGTGGACAAAAATCATTTTGCAACAATTGCAAAAATGGGATCACGCGCCCAATTTGGTATACGTGCGGCAAAATTGTCATGCACGGTGCATCTTCAAACGTGTGGCCAACACTTTACAAAGGCTTCGCGCGCAAAATGAAGAAGCGTGCACAAAACTGTGCACCCTGTAGTCGGAGCAGGTACTTGCCAGCAATTCAGAAATAATATACGGTATTTCAATATTTCAATTTCTCAAATGTGGCCGGGGGGGGGGGGGGTATGTTGCATGTTGATTGATCTGTAGAATGTGTGGATTGTCCTTGCTCACTAGTGTCACCCAGTGGTGATGTCATTTGGCCTTTTTTATGGAAAGCGCAATTAATATCCACCCCGCTTGAAACCTTCTATAATAGACGAAAGAAAAATTGGGCCCCCGCTTCCAAAAAAAAAAGAAAAAAAAGAAGAAGAAGGTGCCCATCATTGGCGTAGCCAGGGGGGGGGGGGGTATTCTTCCCCATATTTGTAAAGACTGCCCTTTTCCATTAAAATGCTTTTTTTTTCCACCAACGCTAACCCCATTTTTTGTAAAGAATGCCGTTCTTTTATTAACAAGACTTGCCCTTTTTTCTGAACAAGTGCCCTTTAGAAAAAAAATGGCCTTTTTTTGTGCCATTGGCCGTGAGGCGAGGGGTGCCTTTTTGTGAATTTCGCGGATCTTTCGCCCTGCAAAGCACCATATATTGTCGGTTTTTGTGCGTAATCGTCGGTTTTGAACATTGACCGATGGTAACAGCCCCCCCCCCCCCTCGTCCGCTTGATGATTTTACAGAGGTCGCATTAAGCACGGTGTCCGGAGGAAAAAAAAGGTGTCTACGTTTCAGCACGCTGTGCAAGTGCCATTTTCAAGTGCTTTTTAACCCAACCCAAACACCCCCCCTCCAAATATTTTTTTTTTTAAATGACCTTGCTACGCCTCTGCCCATTGTGGCCACCCCTAACTCAGATTGCCGTACTGGTTGGAGGTATTATAGGCGTTAATACAAAGCGATAACTACAACAATTCACTTTCTTTAGGCTACGCATGAGCTGTCATGCATACAAACTTTGCCTATGGAATGGTGTGCAAGGATTTGAGCACTATTTTGTACGTGACGGTTCCATGGCCGCGACCGGGACGCTTCCATGCCAATTAAATAAACGTGTTTTGCACAGCTCTGTACATGCCTCGAGATATATTGTGTTATTTTGCGAGCTTTGGCGCGTCACAATCAGTATTAAATTTTGGAAAGCAACACCAGTCAGTAATCACAAAAAGTGGCCATCTTGGATTGGTCTAAATAGCTAAAGAACTAATGCCGTGCAATAATAAGTACAATGTAGAAGCACCATCACGTAAGCTTATGGAAGTGTAGATAGGACATGGTTAAAAATAAATCTAATTCGTACGAATTACCAAACCGTACGTACGAATTACTAAACCGTACGTACGAATTACTAATTCGTACGTACGAATTACTAAACCGTACGTACGAATTAGTAAATCGTACGTACGAATTACTAAACCGTACGTACGAATTACTAAACCGTACGTACGAATTACTAAATCGTACGTACGAAATAATTAGTAATTCGTACGTACGAATTAGTTTTATTTTTAACCATGTCCTATCTACACTTCCATAGTAAACAGAGGGCGCCAGTGATAAACAGGAATGTTTCTGTTACTGAACTCCGATCGCCTTAGCCTTGACCAGGCTGTCGGCTTTTCCACTAGCTTGTTCCCGCTGCCGGCCGCGTACAGGTAGTAGCGGGAACAAGCTCGTATGGGGAAAAAGCTTGACACAATTGGTCAAGGGTACGATCACCTGTGCATTGACTCGAGACTGGGGGCAACTCCGTGTATTGATGTCACTTGTGACTATGGGCGTAGCAAGGTCATTTTTATTGGGGGGGTTAAATATTCCTGCAAGGGGGCTTGCACAGCCGTGCTCAAATGTATAGACACAATTTTTCTCCGGATACTTGGCCTCCGTAAAATCAAAAGAGGGGGGGGGGGGGGGGGGGGGGGGGGGGGGGGGGGGGGGGTGGTAGCATCTGTCGACGGTTTTCACTGAACGGGAGAAAATTGATGTTCAAAGATTTTTCACACGAACATCACAATGTCTGTGTAACGGCAATTTGAGCTAGTTTCATTCAAAATAAAGTATTAGTGGCAATCGGCCGTAGCAACCGTAAGACTAGATAGGCCTATACATCTGGATGTTAAGGACATGTGATGTCAATCTCTTGAAAATATGGTGGTTCAAAAGTGTTGGCATTTTACTATGGCATGTTTTATGTGGGCAAAATAACATAAGAAAGATGCAAAGGTGTTTATTTTGCCTGAGGGCTGCTAAAGTTTTCGGCGTGATACGATACGTGACGTCATGCCTACGACATATGTGACGTCGTGGTCCATATATAAGCCCATTTAAACAATCACTCATGTATAATTCATTTCAGGTTGGATTTATGATCACTCTGGTAGCTACGATGCAGCCTTCGTGGGCCTGGCGCTGTTCAGCTGGTAACAGCGTTCCCGCTCCTCTGGATGTGTCTACGCAACAGTCGTTGCAGTAAACCACGCCCTGAACCACTGGTCTTCATAATACTACTACTAATAATAATTACCGATAATTTAGGCGATTCACAATGCAGTGCGCCACCAAGAGTTTGCCATATAGAGTCCATTTTTCAAGTTTACGGTCGACAAAACATGGCCCATAATGAGCGTCAGTAGACAACTTGAGCTAATTCTTTATAGATTGCGGCATACCATTCTGCTGCCTTTAATAAAAAAAAAAAACCCACCATATTGATTAAAGGAACAGAAAAGGGCAAACAGATACTCGAATCATACGCTTACGAAACTACTAACCGTAAAAAGTAACATTTTCAAATGTCCCGCGCTGCGAATTTGTCGACCATCTCCTACAATGCAATGGAAAAATTAACTCTCCATGACAAACTCTTGGTGGCGCACTGCATTGTGAATCGCCCGAATTGAATATTAGGGAGACATTCCACAGACTTGTGCACATATTTTTTTTCCAACTTTAATGACCCCTAACCCCAGTTTTACCTTATCCTACCCCTACGAATTTCGGTATTTTTACTAATTGGACCACAAGCAATCGATCTAGCCTATTTTCGACACTAAAATGTTGCCTCTAGGTGGGGTGTGTGGAATTAGGGAGACATTGAAATGTCTCCCTAATTCGACGTGTCTCCCTAAGGTATAACTTATGACGCTAAAGTGTCTCCCAAAGGGTATACTAGTTATTATAATAGTGGGTATTATAAAGCGCACGTATCAACCAGGACTGGTGCTATGCACAAGGCGTTACATTATTATTACTCCTGCTCATTGGGCCCATAAAATTCTAAAGACAACCTCGGCTCCTGGGGACAGCTCGATGCAGCCTGTCAAGGAAGCTAATTCAATCACAATAACCATCTCTGCCCTCACAGGTACCCATTTACTCCTGGGTGGGGAGAAGCAATGAGTGACAAAGTGCCTTGCCCAGGGCACACACACCATAACCCAAGGCTGGGCTCGAACCCACAACCTGCAGCTTTACCCGCAGACCACGACCAATGTCCCTTAACCACGAGGCCACAACACTCCGTTAAGGAGAAACCCTGTTGGTAATTCCGAGATGTACACACAAGGGAAGCTACGCGCCGGTTCCCGATTCCTTCATTCGAATGTGGGGAGGGAACCGGTCTCAACCACTCCCATCGTTCAAACCCTAACTACAACCGCCCTTAAGTATCCGGTTTCATAAGTAAAAACGTCATAAACGCGTGCTCACCACTGATTACTAGCGCCCATTGGACAAACACTCAAGTTGCAGTGGTTCCAATGCTACTCAACGGCCAGTGGGCGTGGTTCAAACTGAACTGATGTCACACTAACAACCCAGATACGAACCATTTTTATTTACATAAACATAATACATGTATATATAAAATATATTTTGCTACCATTGATTTTTATTATTTTTTTTTTAATAAAAAAAACACGTTGAGTGAAAGAATTTTTTTTTTTTTTTTTTTTTTACAAATCTATCATTTTTGGAGTCTTAATATGGCGGACCGTGTCTTCACTCCAAACAGCGAATGGGCTATCCAGATATTTTACGTAGAGATCAGTGCCCTAAAACCTACAGAGAGCTGTCTCAGAGCCCTCACTGAAGACAGGTTATGTCATTTGAACTGAGTAACACTGAAGGTAAAATGTGTCTCAATGCGTGTGACTGTCACGGAGGAAAAACGACCTGTCAACAATGAGGGCGCTCTTTGCAAGCTTTTCTGCTTTCTTGATATCTACAAAAGCAATATCCAACATTCGATTTTTGCTAATTTTGTTTATATATATACGGTTAGTATGACGTGACGAGGGGCGTCGAGGGGTTGATGTTCCAATTTACATTTTTTTATAATATATTATTTGTTTATGAGTCGTAGTTTTTGTGGATTATTACATTATTTGTTGTTCTATTTTGTTCTTTACTCAGTTTCCCATTAATGTTATTTTTAATAGACTCATTGTGTATTTTGTGTCAGCAATATTGAAATAAATGTTTGTATGTGTGAATGAATGAATGAATGAATGATGACAGGGTGTTCCGTTGAATATGCACATTTTTTTTCTGAAAATTATTGAGTTTATTTAAAATTATTGAGTTATCTAAAAAAACAATAAAAAAAAGTTTAAGTTGATTGGTCTTATTAAAGATTGATGTTCGACATGTTTATCAATGATGATACATTTTATAATGTTCTGATGATTAAATTAATATTAAACATTGAGGGTTGAAATTGTTATCTTAAGTTGTGAAAACTGGTGATCATTGAATGCTATAGATGTAAGTCGATGTTGAGTCTTAAAGGGAAATACAACATTTGCAAACATCAAAAAATAAAACTACAAATCATTTTGAATTACCTTGCTGGACTGTTAGTGAATGACAGTGTAAAGCATCCTGTAAAATCATGGCACCTGATATACTGTCATTTTCAAGAAAAGTGGTATTTTTGTATCAATTTCCAACGCTGGTCGCCGACCAGCGTTGGAAAAAAACTGGCTCTTTTTCAAATACTGGCCCCAATTGGCCATCGCACTTGTTTGCAATCGATTACACACCTATGAACGGGTACAAGCCAGCTAGACTGGTTCCCTGACCTTACAATTCCCCAATGTATGTAAACTGCTCTTTTTCTTCTTATATGGAGTCGAGGAACCAGCTACAGGAAAATGATTATTTTTCTTGGTTTTTTAGCATTTTCGAACCCAAAACCTCAAAAAGAGTCAGTGTAACTATATTTGCTATATATTTCCAACCCCCCAATTCCATCCATTTCTGAAAATTACAGCAAAAGCAAATGATGTTTAATCCCTTTAAAGGTAGTAATATGCACATTAATTTCAGAACCCGAAATTATGCAACTTTGTTCAAATCATTATTCGAGTGACTTGGAGTGCCAAGCTGTGATCCGCCATCAAAGATATGTTGGATCAAAGGGGTTTCACTGTTCACGACTAACTGGCGGTGTATTTTATGACCCGTTCATTCTGAACATTATCATGCGACACCCCATGAGTTTGGCGAGACACTCCTTAAAAAAACCCTTTTCCCCGGATGTAGAGAGTAATCGAAAGCTTCAATACTGATGCAGGCAACATGTACATGTACATATAACCTACCTAGACGCCGCCCGGGTGATCTCATCCCCTCTTGGCCCTCGGATAACTTGGCATTAATTTCATATCCGGACGGGACGGTCGAGTAGCTGCTCTATATTTAGTATAGTTAAAGGGAATGTACATCATTGGCTTTTTGCTGTAATTTTCAGAAATGAACTATTTGAGAGGTTAGTATAATAGATCAAATATTGTACCACTGACATTTTGAAGTTTGGTGTTCGAAAGGGTTGGAAAAAACCAAGAAAACCAAAAATGTTCAAGTAGTCTGGTTCCCTGACTCCACAAAAGATAAAAGGATCAATTTATAGATGATGGAAAATTGTGCAAGGGAACCAGTCTAGCTGGCCTGCACCCGTTCATCATGAAACATGTAACCAATAGCAAACAAATTTTGGACTGAAAAAATGGTAAATTTGGAGCAGTAGTTGAAAAAATAGTTAGTTTTTTCAACGCTGGTCGGCCGACCACCGTTGGAAATGTTTACAAAAAATACCATTTTCTATTTTCTTGAAAATGACTTCACACCAGGTGCCATAATTTTACAAGATGCTTGAGACTGTCATTTACCAAAATCATAGTAAGGTATTTCGTATAAACTGGTAGTTTTATTTTTCGATGTTTGCAATTGTTGTATATTCCCTTTAAGTTTACTGTAAGCCGTTCGTCCATGATGCCTCACGTTTCAGATTGAGATGATTCCCTGGAGATGACGTCAGTTATCGAAATGGGAAATCAATTCAGCAGGTCTATCCATGTGTTAAAATACTATGCATAGCAGTCTGCGTGAAGATCCTTTGTTAATCAGTACTTTTAAAAAACAAAACTTTTTATATCTCAAATCTTTGCTTTTGCACCTTTCAGATTTGAAGACTATGTTCACATTGTAAAAACACAGTAGATAAGCGTATGATAATCTACAATGCCAGGCGCGGATCCATGGGTGGGGCCATGGGGCGAAACCCCACGAAAAAAACAATTATAGTAATAATTACCTATGTAACAATTATAGCTATAATTACCTATGTAACAATTATAGCTATAATTACCTATGTCCGCCTGTCTGATACAATTGGACATACATGTTTTTTTTAGAAGCATGACTCCCCCCCCCTCGCAAAATCCCTGGATCCGCCCCTGGAGGCCATGCACTAACCTTATCTAGTCTGTATAACTAATTCGCCAAAAAGAAGTTGCAACTACAGTTCGCAAAAAACGTTGGGCATAAAGAATGACAAAAAAGGGTGGTCCAATACAAGTGGAATTCTGCATTTACTTCAGAACACGATGTTTAATTACTTCAATTTCTTAACTACAAACTCCCCGGCTAGCCTAGTGCACAGACACGACTGAGCACTTTATCGCTACGGGAAACGATTGCATCTTGACGTGCGTACGAGCTCATTCTTGGAATCGGAAACAGATATCAGATACGTTTCGTGTTGACAGGGTTTATAGGTTGTCCAAAGTAATTCCAACTTCTAATACCACTTCATTCGTTATCCTGACAAGATAATCCGGCCATCCGGGCTAGATGGCACATTGTGTCTTGCCAAACTGACAGCCTCTTCTGTTTCGT